CCAGAAGACTCATCAGAGCCATCTTCTCGTTCTTGAACCTTCTCAACCACAGACAGTTTCTGTGGAGAACCATTTTTGTCTGTAGCCTCAGCATCTCCATCCTCACTTTCAAGACTTCCCTTGATAGGGGATGATTTCTGTGAAGAGCCAGTTTTCTCTGAAGGTTCAAGTGAACTATCCTCATTTCTCAGCCTTTCCTCATCTGTAGATAACTTCTGAGGGGATTTTGTATCGCCTGAAGATTCAGCATCAGAATCCTCACCCTTGTTCCATGACATCATCGGCCATAGTCCCCCTGGTGCTGTACCATGAAAGAAAGTGAGAACTTTCACAAGCAAAAAAATATTAAACATGCATTAGCAAGTAATTTCACAGTTTTCACTTTTCCATTTGATCGCATTCTATATGCTAACTAACATGCGACATTCATAGTACACTAGCAGTTTGTCAAAAAAAAAAAAATTTGATAGTACACTAGCAGACCCAATACCAATTTAACTCGTTGACAAGCTATTCCAACAATGTCTGCAAAAACCAGGTTTAGGGGTTTCAGGGTCTGTCGCTTGCAAGCGAACTAAGAAAAGTGGGGGAAACAAAAGTGAAAGAACTCGACGAGCAACTCAGCCACTGTAAATCCAGTAAACAAGACTCAACAAGGTACGTATTTTATAGCTCCATTTGCACAATTCAAAGTGAAACGGAAATGTAAGCAGGAGAGACTTCACTTTGCCACCACAGGCCCACAGACCTAGTACCCATTCTCGTCCAATTCAACAGTGGAATTAATGTGTAGCTACAGCCGAAGAAGCAAATCGTGAACAACAGAACAAACGGGACAAAAAAGAAGCACCTTCGGCGTTGGTGGGAGTGGATTCGGTAGGCTTCTCTTCGAAACCAAGAGCATTATCGAAATTCTTCTCAATATTCTTGACGCTCTCGCTGAACTTATTCACCGCCCCAGCCAGATCCAAGTTTCCCAGAGAAACTTTCCCGCTAAACCACGCCATCTCCCTCCCCAGAAAACTACAAACAGGAATGAGAACACGCGTAAGGTAAGATCACGAAAACGCCACCTTTTCTCAGAGATCAATCAGGATCACGGAAAATCAGAGACCCGCGCTACTTCGAACACGAACTCGATGAATCGGAGACAAATCTAGGCTCTAGGGAAAGGAATTGGCTAGATGGATCGGTTCAGATTGCGAAGAAGAGAACTGAGGGAGTAAATCGCGGTTGCCGATCAGCATCAATATCGAAGAATCGGGAATGGAGGAGGAGAAGGAGGAAACCTGGAGAAATCAGGAAATGTGGCGGATTGGGGGAGATACTCCAGAAATTCAAATCAAATCCATGGCGCTTGTCTCGGTCGATCGGTTGTTTTTTCCGTGTGCCTGTCTTCGTCTTCTGAGAGAGGAGGTGAGAAGCCGAAGGGGGAGGGAAGACAACTGTTTTTCTGGGACACAAAAGACGGTGCCGCTGTGAGTTTTGACGTTTGAGCAGTAAAAATCCCGGTTTCGTTTGATTCGTCTGCGATTGCGACACCGAACACATGCTCGTTGCAAGCTTGTGCGTAAATCGGGATTAGGTAAAATTAAAAAAGGCCAAAGGTCACATAGCCTGGTGGTAAGGAAGGCGAACTAGTGACCGAGAGGTCTCAGGTTCGATCCTCACCGCCACCATGGTGTTCCCGGAGGCACCCGCATTTGCCCGGACTGCTGGCGGAGGTCCCGGGGTTTGGCCCGACTACGGCATCACCAAAGGTGGTGACCGTGGAGGGTGTTCCTCGTCATCAAAAAAAAAAAAAAAAAAAAAAAAATTAAAAAAGACCTGTTTGCACATTCCGACCTTCGATAGAGCTAGGTAACGAGCGATAGAGTCCATTAGTTGCGAATAGGGATGACAATTTCGATCTGATCCGTTTTACCCGACCTGTTTGGTCTGTTTTGAACGGGTCAGACCCGTCCCGTAGGTGGGGTGGGGCGGGCATGGCCACATGGGTACTCTCATCGACCCGACCTGTCCTGAGCCGCCACATTCTCGACCCGTTCTTGCCTAAATTACTTGTAATCTTAGTCAAATTACTTAGGATTTTTCTTTTATTACATCATATTTTAGCTGTAATAACTTTTTAAATAAGTGAAAATCTCAATTTCTTCAATAATTTAACTATATTTATCATAATATTGTTTTTTTCTTGGTCTTATAATAAAAATAACGAATATTTCTAATGTTTTTCATATAAATTGCATACTCATTTGGTCGACCTGCCCCAACCCGTAATAAATTACCCGACCTGCCACGGGACGGGTCTGGGTACCAAGAAACCCGCCCCGGACCTGCCCATTGTCATTCTTAGTTGTGAGTATATATACTTATAGGTTGAAATGGGGTGCGTGGGGAGTTGAGATTTAAGGGTTGTGGCTTAGTGACTCAACAAATGGCTCATTTAAGTGGATTTTACTGGTTTTTTGGTTGCGAGCCAAGCCAGCCGAGATAATTCGTATTCAGCCTAGTAAAATTAATATCCAACATGCACGAACTAGTAGTCAAGTATGCTATTTTTATGAAGTAGTATTAAAGTATACCTGAGAGCACAAACTAGTATCCAGAGAGCATAGACTGGTATCCAAACATCACAAAACTAGTATGCAACTCACAGAATTAATATCTAGCCAACCAATTACCAACTAATATCCACAATCAAACCAATTAGTATTCGTGCTTTGTTAACTGATATCTACCATGAAATCAATTATTATTCCACATTCACGAACTAATATCCAAACAACACAGAATAGTATCCATACATCACATAATTAGTATTCAGCCAACCAATTAAGAGCTAATATCCACATTCAAAACAACTAGCATTCAAGGTTTGCTAAATGATATCCAACATGAAAACAATGTGTATTCCACACATATACTGATATCCAGATAACACATAAGAGTATCCATATTTCACAGAACTAGTATTCAGGCAAAAAAATCCATTCACCTAATAAATGCAAGATAAATAACACCATTTTGGGTGTTATCAAACTCTCTCACACTTAGGTGTTTGCTTGTCCCCAAGCAAACCTACTCAAACCTAATGCATCATGTTAGACAAAATAATGGGCAATGCACTCCAAGTCTTCATTGCATAAAGAGGAGTAACATGGTGCGAATTAATGTTACTGTCGACCTACTGTGCAATCACAAACTCTCGGGTGAGGAACATACTTACTACTCTAAGCCGAACATTCAAGGTGTGCTCCGGGGGATTCTCAAAGAACATGAAACAAGTGAATTGTAAAGGTGCTTTTATTCTCTCTTATGATTGTGAGTTGTCATTTTTTAGTCTCCTTTTTCTTCGTTCATGCACATTGCATCAAACTTTTGCAAATTTCTTTGCATAATAGCATCTCTCCCTCATGACCAGGAGCGGAAGAATCATAGCATTTCCTTTCAAGGTCACATGTGGGGGAAGTTGATGTTCGAATTCGTCTTAGCCCGAGCACCACGTCTCGGCCTGCACTCCACATTGGGTTGCCACACATATTGGGTACAAACGAGAGTTATGAAGTCTCATGAACTAAAAGGTACATTTGGTCCTTATCATACGATTCGGTGAGGAGAGGTATGTGGGGGATGGTAAGTAGTAAGAGATGATCGGGACGCAATAGAGCTATCTCAACCCCAAACACATCCTATATGGGCACTCCGAGCCAAGAGAACAATCCTTTGACGGTTGATGTCAATTCTTTGATCGGTTGCCACTCACGTGAGAACCTCTTTTTCTATTCTAACACAAATTGTAAAAGTTTCTAGCTCACACAAAGAAGAGAATCTCGCACACAATGCCTTCCTAATGGTTGATGATTATCCTCTGCTTCTTTCTTACTTCTTCTTTTTCTCCACCACCATAAACCCAATTCAATACCGGAGTTTCTTGAAGCTCTGAGAACGTCGACCCAACCAGAAGAACTGATCCACCAATCAGTGACGATCGGCGGATTGGATTTGCGACAGTAATTTGTAGGGGCAGCAACGAACCAAGTATTTAAAAGTTAAAACAAGGAGCGAGAGGTGTGGGTGGAGAAGCACCTATTCGCCACCTCAACCACCTCCGCTGCCAACGCAACCACCGCCCCGAAGATGACTGACCATCCGCCGCTGCCGATGATTTCTCTAGAGCAATCACATGTTCCGCCGCCCTCGCTGCAGATCTTATGTCTGCGACTATCGGTTCGCTTCCGACACGGGCATCTTCGATTTGAAGCTGAGGGTTTTCTCCATGGCGGAGTTGGCCGACGCCTCCTCCTCCTCGGAGACCCATATTTCCAGTAGCACTTGGAGCAGAGGTTCATGTTGGACGCCAAACCGAAAAACCCACACCCGTTGACGCATAGCTTTGGCTCCGCTTGCGGGAAGCTCGTTCCGTCGTTCTGCTCCAAACCCTTCTTCTTCTTCTTCTTCTTTTCTTCTTCAAGGAGTTTCAATGAGCCCAGCAAAAGAGCTTCAAAGAAAGAGAAACTAGAAAAAATCAAAGTTTTGAGATAGTTGAGTTTCTTTGACTGTGGGTTGCTGTTAGTGTTGTGGTATATGATCCACGATTGAACCTCTCCCAACAACTCGAGTTATTGGGAGTAACTGGTTCTTCACATGGTATCAGAGCCTTCTGTGACCGAGAGGTCTTGTGTTCGATTCCCGGTGACCCCCATTTTTTAAGCACATGGTATTCTTGTATTCTTGAAGCTCACTGAGGGTTTTCTCCATGGCGGAGTTGTGGATCATATACCACAACACTAACACGCCCCGATCCAATTTTCAGATATCCGTGAGTAATAAATTTTTTTCATAAATTCAACAAACATGTTAACAATTAAATGTACATTGACATTACATAACTAAAAAATATATATATCGAACAAAAAATAATTAGTTGAAGAGCACCATTTTATGAAATTTCATATATGTATAGAAAATATCAAATAAGATGACAATAATAAATACCATTTTTAGATAAATTACATGCACATAAACATAATCGAAACAATTTTGAGTTGGATAGTGAGAAAATCATGTCTATTTATTACTCGCAATTTTCAAATTAGTGTTTTACCCATATCCACCGAAAATCCTTCGTGTTCGGATTTTACCCTACCCAATTAAGTTAGTTTCGAGCGGATATCCAGAGGTGTAGACATTTTTGACATCCCTACTCAGAAGTCAAGAACCAGAGAGATTTCTAGAGAAGGCTCAGCTCAAAGTTCTAATTCACGCAGAATCAAAGAGAATATGTTACCGCCTTGACATCACTGTCATGCCAACCAATATTGATATCTTTGAACAAATAGGGACATATACTCATCTTTCATTACATCACACTTCACTCATTTTGGCAGCATGATCACTGCCCTAATATATCTGACACCGACTTGTTGATGATCTCGACTAGTTCTTCTCTGAGATTGAACAAAGAATTGATAGTGAATTTTCTGCAGATCCATTCCAACAACAAAATTCAGAGTAAGGTAATTCAAAATCTAATTACAAAACTTTGCTTACCGGTTGGGTTTGAATAGAAGATACCGATACACAAACCACTGCAATGGGTCACAACATTCCAGTGAGCACTAATACTCGTAGCAGATATAACTTAGTACAGAGAGAATCATAATTTGCTTGGTTATTCCACATTTACAGAAGTTTTGAACAAATGTGTCACATTTAAGAAAGCGTCTTAAGATACTTACAGTTGAATAAAGTATGCCAACAAGTTCCAATAGACTTGGGAATACTGGCAGCTTGTCAATAGCCTATTCATGCACAGGAAACAAAATCCAAAACAAAGGCAATTAGGATGTTCTCTTTGTTGATCAAAGTTCATAGAAAGAAGTCGGCTAACGATGAAGAAAATATGGGCTTCAAACAGCTATCACATTGCCACTCCATGATCAAAGCTCCTAAGCCTTTAATCTGGGAATGGACCAAGTAACTCAAAGCTAAAAAAAAGTTTGAGAACTGAGAAGGGTGTAATTACTGCTATGAGACTAGCTGATGCCCAAAGTGCTACAACAGCTGCAAAACCCAGACCAATGATAGCCACCCGATCTTCAGACTTATCCCACTGCAGCAGAGAGAGCAAATATGTTATAAGAACAATAATATTCAGCTCGAGTCAGGAGTAACACAACTACACAAGTAACCAAGCGAAGATGGCCTTTGTTGGAGTTTGCACAGTATGAAGTGCCAACAGTTTTGGAAGCACAAACTTTCTTCGTTGTCCAAAGAAACATGAAAATCAATCAGATAGACATGGAAAGTGGAAAAGAGGACCCACGGCACTCTGTACGCTCTTAGCAATATTGAGGGAGGTTGATGAATCAGAACTTTCTCCGGTGGCTTTTGAAACCACAGCAGCGCGGTTATGCTTCCCTGAGAAGGCAAGGTCAAGAACAATCAAGAAAGCTCAATACCACCATAATAAGCTTCATATCAAGCACATGGATTCCATGAGACTGGATTTGTTTTAGTAATGCTCGAATTTATGTCTCCAAGATAAGTTATCACTAAAAAACACTGCATAACTTAACTTGAATATCTTACAAGCTACCAAGTGAATCAGTTCCCATACAATAAATGAAAGTACAACTTACGAAGGGCAATGATAAACAAAGTCCCTGACAAAAGGACAGATAACTTGAGCAAAAAACCTTTTTAGAAAGGGAACACCATTTTTCAAGAAATCGACGCATCTAACTTGAATTCGGCAGTATCCGATGAAGCTATATCCACGACAAGTAGAAACTGTTAGATAGGGTAATGCCATCTACCCATTGATGAAAGTGCATGCACTTGCTTACCTGAAAATCTAAAATCAGACTGTATATGCCTAGACATATTGGTAGACTGATAAATCCATATTCAGATTTGTAAATGCTTTCATCCAACAAAGTGAAACACACATTTGAAGCCTGATAGTGACTACTTCCATCATCATAGTGAAATCCCAACATCACAATTTTGCCACCCATAATTCAAGCTCCCGGGGTTCAAGTTATCAATTCTAATCATAGAGGGGAAACGAAGGATTCAAAGTAAACAAATGACATGAAAGAAAGAAGTTGGCTAGTTCAACTCGATTGTCAAATCCTCCAACTTGCGCTTTTTTTCATAATTAACTTGCTAACTCAAAATGTACGCTACGAATTCATTACAAAACCCATATGGGAACTGATCCTACCGATAGAAACAGGAAATCGCCGTAATTGGTAACTCAGAAAACTGTGAGCCACGACGACTCACCGTTCAATTGAGAAACTGGGAGAGGTTGGGGAGCTACGAAAGTGCTCTGCCTTCCACGGACTATCAATGGTGGTAGAGGAGGCAAGCTCGCAATAACGGAAGCCATATCCAGCTGGAATGAATTACTGCACAACAGAAAGAAGAGAACATGAATAAGAGGACGGAGAATTTTCGGAAAGTAAGCGGCCTGGTTGAGATGACAACTTGAAGAGGGAACGAAACTACTACTAGGTTTTTGGCTTTTTGCCTCCTTTTCTAACTCACCTCTTCAAATGGCGAAGCAGCAAGCAAACAGTGAACAGGCAAAGAAAAGCTCGTGCCCTTGCTAGCTCTGCGCACTGCAGAATGAAAAGCTTCCGACTCCGGACTTGGCAGTTTGCAGTGTGATGGTGGAGAGAAAAATGGCTACTGGCTGGCTTGTGTGGACAAAACTTGAAATGACAGGTATGGATGGCAACAAAACCCGAACCTACGGGTACCCACCCGACCCAACCCGGTCAACGCGGGTAAAATCCTTGTTGACAGGTTTTGGGTCGGGTTTGGGTTTAAACCCGTTCACTATTCACCAGGTTGGGTTGGGTTTGGGTTTAGGTAAACCCGGCCCGTGGGTACCCGCCCACCCATATAATTAATTTTTTCGGTATATTTAATATTCTAAACAACTAATCTTATTTATGTTTGTGGAGACATGTCTAATTTTTTCTTTTTAATTGTGTAGAATGAAGTTGATGTTATGGAGTGGAGAGTAAAGAAACTTAATTGAAAGGAAGAAGCTTTCAATTAAACATGTTATTTATGGATAATTTGTGATTTGCTTCAATTTTTTTGAGTTTTCTAGATTGGTGTTGAACAATTTGTATAGTTAATTTGTGATTTGCTTGAATTTTCTAGAATGGTGTTTTATATATGGATAAGTTGTATTGAGAAATTGATATTTGACTTTAATTTTGATAAGAACTTGTAATTGTAAATTTTTTACGACAAAACCCGTGGGTACCCATGAACCCGCGGATACCCAACGGGTTGGGTTGAGTTTGAGTTTTTCAAACCCAGTGGGTTTTACCCCGGGTTTTTTTCAAAGATAAACCCATGGGTTTGGGTTTGGCAAAACCCGACCCAACCCGACCCATTGCCATCCCTAATGACAGGGACATGGAGAAAGTACTGATCAGCTGTAGTAAGACCCACTGTGTGACGGTTGGTATATACATCCTTGCAGACCATTTGAAAGGGCGTTCGGCCCTTCAAAAGTCGGATTGAAAGCCCAATTATGCAGTTATCAGCCTGTACGTTCGGCCCTTCAAAAGTCGGGTTGAAAGCCCAATTATGCAGTCATCAGCCTGTACGCTCGGCCCGTAATCCGTTGGGAGGCCGAAACAACTTCCTCAACTCTGACGCTTTGTTTGGGAAGAGGAGGAAGTGAACCAGGGGTAAATGCCAACCCCGATGCATTTGCACCATGGTAAAGGAAACCGTACCGGAGATTATATCGGATTCGTTTGTGGTAGGGTATTTTGTGGTACGACCGTGGTTCAACCGTTATATACTGGTAAAATATCGTTTTTGTAATTAAATAATATTTTTTTGTTAAAAAATCGTACCGACAAATTCAGGATACCGTCTGGGAGTAATACCGGAATAAAACCAGAATATACCGGATAACAAACCTAAATAAACTAATAGGTTAAAAAACTCCATTGCATAATTGACCACTTACGAGCTTACATTTACATATATCACAAACGTCACTTTGAGATTGCTTGTCAACTCGTAAATAACAAGATATTATACTTCTAATCAAGATCAAAACATGTTGTGTTAGATTAAACTTTGAACAGAGGACTAATTACACCATCCAGAACAGAGTGAAATCGAGGTCTCTATAAACAGAGCTCTAATGGAGCGTTTCCCGCATATACCATTCTGTTTACTCAATCAATGATGGTAGAAACCAATTCTCCAATGGAGTGTTAATATTATATTCATTTGGTTAAAATATTATTTAAAATAATACTATATTTTGAGACTAATACTCCCAAATCATAGGAAAATGAGACAAATTCAAAGTTCTATGGATACTCCTATTATCCTACGTCAATATATGTAATTACCTAAAAGGCTAAAACTAAATGGTTAAACCAAATAAAAAACTAGGAATAAAAATTATAAATTTCCTTAATTTGCACAACAACACAAACCCAGCCTCACAACAAGCTTGGATAGCCCATATAAACTTACGGGTAATAAAATTTTGGCATGGCCCAACTATTGAGCCCAACTTGACTGTCACTCAAAACCCTAAACGAGCAGTCTATTAAAAAGTTGCCGACTCGGTCCCCTGCCCTCTTCTTCCTCATGCCAGCAGCATCTTCTTCTCCATGTTTTGGCAGAGAGCAACCCACGTTGGAGTGCTTTTTCCTTTTTGGACACTCCCCCAATTTCGCCAATGCCACTCCTCCGAACGCCGCCGTTGGAAGATGATCTACGGCCAAAATGAGACTGCCCCACCAAAAAGTGATAAAGCAAAGAGGGCTGTGAACTTCACTCTCCTAACCTCAAATCTTATCTATCTACACCTTCTTCCCATCAACAAATCCCCCATGTCTCCCTACAATCTTTCATTCTTCAAAACCCAAGCTAGCTCAATCGATTTCTCACATGCAGATTCTGAAATCCTTGACCCAGACTGCAATTTCTTGTGCCGACAAGAAGTCACCCCCTCAAAGTTCAAGATCTTCGTCATTTATTTGATTCTCTTCTAGATGCATCTTTTCGGCATCTTTTCGGCTTCCTCCATCAACCAGCCAGTGATTCCCTTTCCTTCATCGAATTAGTCGTCAGTAGTTCGACACTTTCTCTTCTCCTCCGTTTCTATTAATTAAATTCACGAGAGGAAGAAAGACCGCAAGGGTTCCCAAGACCCAAATTAGGTTTTGCATCTCTTGCCTTTGGCGGATTTGTTTTTTTTTTTAATTTAAGTACAAAACAACGCCGTTTCCCATCCTTTAAGCCTACCGCCGGTCAGACCAAAGCCGGGCGGCTTTTCGTTTTGCACCGATTAAGCCGGTAAAACCGGCCGGTCCGATATTCTACTACTAACCAGCCTACCATATCGCTATTGGCCCGATTTCTGGTTGAACCGGTTGAACCGAACGGTACGATCCGGTTTCCTGGTCCTTGATTTGCACTCGTTTGGCAAATTTGGAACAGTAGGGGACGGAGGATTGTAGGGACAAAATTACTGTTTTAATTGACTCCCCAAATCCGGGCGAAAGTGGAGAGAGAAAGCGTGAAGGCTCTTAACTTATTTATTTTATTTTTTTCTTTCAACAAATGAAAGCGACGACTCTTCTCTCTTCCTCAAATCACCGGAGTTGGACTTCGCCAAAGTTGAATTTGCAACCACGATCTCTTCTATATTCCTCGACGACAACGTTGTTTGTCGATCCGAAATCTGGTGGTCCATCTGAATTCAGGTAAATGAGAGATAGGGATTGTGCTCTCATCAACATCCCAGATTCGCCGCCATTAATTCTCCTATAGATTCGCCGTCCGGCCACCCCTCAAGCAGCTGTCAACAGAGAGAGAAGCCAGATTTGTACGATGAATGAGAGAGAGTGAATCAAGATAAGGGATTAGGTTTTCGATCTTCTTGCCTGCGGATCGATGGAGGAATCACCTCCGGCACCGGCTTTCAGCTCGCCAAGCTTCTTGTCGGCGGCGACTAGGATGATGAAGCGGCAATTGGAAAAGTAAAAGCAGAAAGGGAGAAAGAGAGACTTGGAAGTTGGAATTAGAACGGGAAGGGATGAGATAAGATATAGTAGATAGTTGGTAAATTATATTTATTATTATATTATTTTTAATTTTTAAATTATATTAACTAATATTTTTGTATTAATATTAATATTTAATACATATTTTACACCATTTAATTTTACTTGAAAAAATAAATAATTATTATTTTAACATTATTAATTAATAATTATTTTTATTAAAGTATATTATTATTTATTAGATAATGATTTTTATTTTGTGTTAATATTTAATAAATTTAATAAATCTATTTGCACCCCCTACTTTTTCATCCAAACAACAATTTACCCCTCCACTTGCACCCACCTCGAATTTGCACCCTCCTGTAATTTACTCTTCAACTTGCACCCCCTCGAATTTGCACCCCCTTGTTGCCAAACACAGAGTGAGAATCGAGCATTGGAGCTGTTACGGATCATGCGAATGTAATTTCCTATATCTAGTTTGGTCCGAGAGTTGATCCGAATGTTTTTTTCTCCCAAAGTCAGAGGAATAAACGAGAGTCACATACGGGTAACAAGAAAAGCGCGGGAGTCGACCAATAGTTGAACTCCCGATGAGAGGGCTTTTTGTGTCACATGATGGGAAGCCCTATTGAGTTGATGAGAAACAAAACAGAAAGAAACACTGCTGAAAGAAGAGGCCAAGCTCCTAGCGTCCTCCAAAATAGCGCCACCCCGAACATGAAACATATCACCTCCAATCATCCGGCGTATCAAGAGTTGAGAGTCCCCATGAAAATGAACAACAAGAAAGGAATGAGTTAGACACCACTGTAAGTCTGTAAGGCATCACGTTGATCGGAATGTTAATTGAACACAAAATATTTACAATGGGTAAATTGCATGATTGGTTATTGTGATTACTAAAAACGTCACGTTTGGTTATTAAAAATATTTAATTTCATTCGTGAACACTAAAAATTAGTTAAAATTTTAAGTTTGGTCGCTCTCCGTCCAACTTTGTTAACTTTTATTTACGTGGCAATCAACTCTCTATAGTTGACCGTTAAATGTGTGATATAAAAATTAAAATACTAATAAAAATAAATAAAATTTAATTTATAAATTTAAATTTTCCACCTCATTTCCAATCTCCAACTTTTTCTTCCTCCAGAAAATCGTTGTTGTGGAGATTTTAAGGGCCGCTGTGGAGAATGCCGGATTTTCGACTTTTCTTCCTCCAGAAAAATCGCCACCACTGTGGACCTTGAGAGTTGCAAATGGGAAGATCCAAGTCTCTACCTCTTTCTTCCACCAGCAAAATCACCACAGTCATGCTCGTCCATGGCGGCTATCACAAGAAAGCGTCGCCCGCAAATATCCATTGTCGGAATCACAAATGAGACGACCACTCGCTGGGAGGAGATGAAATGGATTCTCTACCACCGGAATCATGGACGATCACTCACAGGTGCCATTCTTCCCGTACCACCCACCGCCTTCGATTCATCTCAGAGAAGATGGGGAACACTTCGTCTTCCTCTGGTTTTGTAGCCCCTACCACCAATTCGTTGTCGAAGACGGCGACAATCCGATAACCGGTGAGGCTTCGTTACTCGTCGCAGAATCCAACTTCGATTCAAGCTTTAGCTGCTACGTGGGTCGTTTGAGTGTGGTGGCCGGTG